AGCATTTCCTGGATTTAGCATTTTACAGTTGAAACAAAGAAACATAACATATAAATATGAAGGTCATTCTCCAAGTATTAGAATATGGAATCACTTCAATAAAATTTTTTCATAAACATCTGCATGATTACCCACCCTCTGTATCAAGCACCAGAGGATCAAATAAATACATAAAAGGAAGATGATACTCTAAAGAAGATGTATGTCCAAAGACTAACAAACTGAATATACCTCAAAATGTCTTACCCTGGGTCAGATTTGGTCAATGAATATTAGCCAGAGAATCTTGTTATGTACATATGAGAAACTAAAACATTTGTAAAAGCACAATACACTGTTCACGTAAATTAAAAATTCTGCCAGCTTTGTCATATGAGGAGTAAGTAGCTACAGAGACTACCCCACGTGACCATTTAAAATATACTGTGTATATATTATGAAGTCACATATATAAAGGATACAAGGCCTTTACTTCCACAGCAGTCATGAAAAAAAAAAAGCTTTATATAGGCATATTCCACCCTTTATTGATATTTTAGACTTTATATTCTATAATGTCTCAGCTATTAAAATTATGCATAGTACCTAAGCCAACATATGAGCACTAGCAAAACACAATTTCAACTATAGTACTTGATTATATTCACATGCCGTACCATCTAAGAGTTTGGTCTACGACCAAACAAAATTTCTGAATTGCCCAAGTTAAAGACCGTTAAAGAAAACAAAGTGTGTCCCCGTCACATGAACTGGATCGTCATCTCTCGGAGCACTGTAAATACACAGGAAGCTTAACACTTCAGAGCCCTTTAATGATGAATTTAATGGTACTGTTAGCATTAGCTTGCAGAGTGGTCTAGTAGGCATAGATATCTGAAAATCTAAAATGACTTCTGGACATTTTAATAAAGGCTCATTTCTACCTGAATTTGAACATGTTTTGATTGGAGCCCTAGTTGGATTGTATTTTCCTTCTGGCAAATAATGTGCTAAATGAAAGACCTCCATGGATCATTTTTTGGGCAAAAACATTACATACAGAAGAACTTAGTTTGCTTACAATTTCTGGTAGTATTTTGCTACAATAAGATGGTTAACTTTGACTCTCCATTAAAAGATTTTCAGATCATAAATAACAATCACAGTAGCTGTTTGCATACAGAAGCCTTCAGAAACACCACAAAGGGAATCGACTGCCACAGTGCAAACAGGTGGCCCAGTGCGTCTCTGCCTTTGCTGCCCTTCACATCGTCTCTGGTCTCAGGACCCAGCTCAAGTCCCAGGAAGCGGCTCCCCTAACTAGCCTCTACTGTTCCCTAAACATGGTATTTAAGATTCTTATCTGACCACAAATACATGTCTTTAAAAAACTATTACTCATTTTCTTTGTGATAGAATTAGAAAAAGAAAATGCTATACACCTGGAAAATTCCCAAGTCTAAGTGATCTGACTTTAATACCTAAAAAACAATTTACTATGACATAATTTTTCAAATCCAATTTTCTAAACTTAAAATTTAGTAAGGCAGGTTAACTTAGGCAATCTTTATCACAAATATTTCCATAATGAAATCTGGCTGCATAGTATGGCGACAGAATACAAAACAGAATTTAATAAATCTACAGAGTTCCACTGACTATACAGGACATATCCATTAGTCCTTTATTCTTTCTAATCAATGCTTCTATTTATTAAAATATTAGTTACATGTATTTATTACTACATAAATCAAGGTATATTTGAAGGCTGCTAAAATTATTTTTACAAACCTGATTTTTAAGCCTTTCAAAACCTCTAAACGTTTTGTTTTTTTTAAAATAATTCTCTATCATTCTAAATACAGGTATGCGTCGCTTACTATCCGTTAGGGCAACATCCCACTAGATATACATCCCCAGACCCCAAAGGTTTTTTTTTTTTAAAAGGGAAAGCAGCTCTCCTTTTGTTTATTTTCCTCTAATGATTTTAAAGACCCCAAAGCCCAGAGTGAACCAGCAGTGGGGCTTCAGTGTGCATCCTTATCTCCTTAGCACCTCCTTCCCTGCCTTCTCCTGGCTTCATTCACTCGTGTGGCAACGGTGCAGCCTTTCCCTCCTGGTGCAGGACAGTGCCTGCTGTGCCTCTCAGCTTCTTCCATTGGTGCCGGTGATGCCAATGATCAAGAAGTGGCCACACCAACAGGGTGGCAGCAACCACGGCCACCACTGCCAGCTGTGCTCCCAGCACCAACATACGGTTCCTGCCTGGACTTGTGCAAAGTCTTGATCCAGCTGCCAGCGCAGCCCCTGCCCAGCCCAGCCTTATACCTGGCAAGTCTGGCCTCCTGTATCCAGTGGATACAGCTCTCAAGCTGTATTTGGCAGGCTCCCATAAGGTTTTAATATAATAAGCTTTAAGAGGATTTAATGATGGATTGCACGGGGACTGCCTGTGTATAACACAGTGTTTGTTCAACAGCCAAATTGCATAACATCCTATTTCACAGAAAGCAGTCTGGACATTAAGCGACATATACTTGTACTGAGAACCTGTCTTGCACAAAGGTGTTGGGCTAAGTGCAGCCAAGAATGAGTAAGACAGGAGTCCTTCTCTGATTACAGTAACTATTATGTGCTTGGCCTCAATGAATTTCACTTATAATCTAGGTCCAGTTATAATTTCAAACTGCAAAATTATTTGCAGAAATGCCAATAAAACATATTCTGTAGAAATAATATTTTGAAAATAGAAAAATATGTTTTAAAAAATGTCACAATAAATATCTCTCTAAATAGTATTTTCATATCTCTATTATAAACTTTTTCTTTTTCCATAATATATAATGAATGGACAAGTTCACTGGTTTATCCACAAACATTAAGTCTTTACCATTTAATATTTCTCTTGCTTAAACTAAAATCTTCAGCTCAGTGTTTGTTTTTTTTCCCCTTCAAAAAAATTATTTTTAGAAGAGTAAGAAAAAAACCATAATGACTCAGAAAACCCTTTCAACATTCAAAATATTATTTAAAACAGCATGTCATCTTTTTTTTTAAATTTCACAATCTATTTGTAAAAATGGTACTAGATTAATATGGAATACCCAATTCTTGAAATATTAAACCAGAAAACCCTAACACAAACTATTCAAGTTTTTTTTCCCCATGCCTTGACATTTGGATATTAAAATAATACTTTCTCAAAAATAATATAATTTCTACCTTATCTTGCCAACATGAAAATATGTAGACCAAAGTAATCTTAATTTAACATATTATACTTATTGAGTAGGGTTTACTGGTGATATAGAATCTACGTTTTTCTTCAGTGACTCAGAGATTCCAAGAAAATTTAGATCTTTCACATAAGATCTAAACCATTACATAAGAATAGGAAAAACTATTAAGGTTTGTGTAGTGTACTGTTAAACTGCATCCAGACCTGACTCAGACCAGACTCACTGCTGTGGAGTTGGATCCGACTCATAGAGACCCCTCCTTGGGTTTCCAAGGCGGTATCACTATGGAAGTAGATTGCCCAACCTTCCTTCCAAGGAGTGGTTGGCGGATTTGAACTGCCAGCCTTCTGGTTAGCAGTTGAATGTCTTAGGCACTATGCCACCAGAGCTCCCAGATCCAGACTGATATATTTATTTTAAAAAGTATTATTTGAAGCACCCCCAGGGCTCAACTTTCAGTCAAACAAAAGACATAAGGTGAATAGTAACATGAGAGGAGGTGCACATGTCTTAGAACAATCAGCTCTAAAGATCAAAGGGCTAGGGATGAAGCTCAGAAGGCAGGAAAGGGGAGAGGACACAAATGGAAATAGTAAACAGAGGGAGGAAGTAGACAGAGGTCTGTTACATTGTGGGGATTGCAATCAATGCCACATACAAAAAATGTACTGGATGAAAAACCAACTTGGTCTGTAAACTTTCACCCAAATCATAATAAAAATTGGAAAAAAAAAATACTGCAGGAGATTAAACTTCTGGTAAATATTCAAAAGGACAGAGAATAAAAATTAACCCTTTGTATTAAAAAAAATTAAACGTATATTCTATTCTTGCCTCAACAAACTAACTTCTGATACAGTAAAGAGGAAAACATAGCATCTGATCAAGAGGGGTTAAAAAGGAAAGCCACAGGCTGGTGTCAGTAATGTCAAACAGCTGTCCTCTCTTCTATCCACTGCCCCCTGAGAATAATTTTCATTTTCAGATAATGTGCGTTTACATAGGAAAAGCTGCTCTGATAGCAGTTTACTTCCTGTTGTTCTAAATTTTTGACTCCTGAAATCAGCAGCTCTTATTATTCAGTGAGTTGTTCAACTCTTATGTTAAGGTGCCTTATGGTAGCCTAACATACTGAATATTAAACTTATTTTGCATCTCTTACATGGTGCTAGTGGGGGTTCTGTGGCTCATCTAATAATATGTAACAATAAATACTGCCTAATAATGGCATGACATCTATTCACGTATCTTAAATATACTTTATGACTGATACATTTGGAATTGTTATTAAGCACAAACACCCACATATTAATTCATATGCATTACTGCATCAAAAAAGGTTAATAAATTTAATATGGTACTATAGAGAGTATAGGAAGATTTCCTTAATAGGAATATAACTATTTGACAGAATTTATAGGGTTTAAATTATAGTCACTTACTGACATTCATAATTTTTTTTTTAAGAAAAACATGTAACCAGAGGCCAAATATCTGTTGAGCACCTCTCTCACAGATTATGTACTTCAATACTAAATCTATACACAGATGTACCGTGCTGTTTTATAAGAAAAAGCAGGCTCTTCATTATCTGTGCAGTGCCCACAGAGCTGAGTATTGTTAAGGCACACACTGGACACGCTGCTTTGATTCTACCATTCAGTTCCCTCCTGGTGGGTGGCAAAGGTTTGGTGACGAGCACTTTCAGAGAAGAAATCAGTGTTGACTTCTGTTGGATAAACGAACACACTTCATTTCTTAAAAGGTTCACTTTGCTTTAAGTGCTTGAATAAAATGCCTTGAGAGTTCCATCACCCACATCTTGAATCCACAGAGAAGTTTCAGTTCATTTTAGCGTTTGATCACAACTTGTTCATAAGCTCCAGACCCCACCCTAAAACAGCAGAGGAGAAAAAAACTTCAAGTTTGAGCTATGGTGTTTTAAACTGTTCTAAGAAACCTTGCCCCAGAGATGGTACCTTAGATATTTTCTACTATATTTGATTTTCACAAGGTTTTAAGGTATCACAGACAGAAAATACATAAACGCTATTCCCACCAGCCACTCTTTGGAAGGAAGGTTGGGCAATCTACTTCCGTAGTGCTACCTCCTTGGAAACCCAAGGAGGGTCGCTATGAGTCAGGTCTGACTTGATGGCACATAACAACAACAACAACAACAACATTAATACATGAAATTTCCAGATCTTGGTTTTATCCCTGATCCTCTCAAACTTATTCCCATAGTAATCTAGTAATGCTTCCCAATTTCTAACCTGTCAACACACTACTTCGAGAATACTTCAAACATATTTCCACATAAGTCCTAAAATCAGTTTCATCCAAGAGCATATGTGGACTGGCAGTGCATCTGGGCTTGCACAGTGGTCTTCAGTTGCAATGTTGTTGTTATGTGCCATCGAGTAGGACCCTCCTTGGGTTTCACTACGGAAGTAGATTGCCCAACCTTCCTTCCGAGGAGTGGCCATTGGGTTTGAACAGCCAGCCTTGTGGTTAGCCATCATATGCGTAGGCACTATGCTACTGTATCTTAATGTATTTTCTTGGAAGCTTCAAATATTCTTTTGTCAATGTGCCAATGTGATTATATGTATGTGGTCAGTGCTACAAATTGTACCTGTGTAATACAGATCTAAAGGAGCTCTGGTAGCATAGTGCCTAAGGCTTATACCTAAGCCAATGATGGGCTCAGGTATAGCAAGGATTGTGACGCTGGTGCAGGACCTGGCAGTGTTTCGTTCTGTTGTACACAGGGTCGCTATGAGTCGGAGGTGAATCAACGGCACTTAACAACAACACTAAAATACTTACAATTAATAAGCTTTCTGAACAAGGTACTCAGGGACAGGTTACTCAAGATACACTTAGTACCACTTGGTCCTGTGCTGTAATGGAATGACATGAATGTTCCATCTACTGTTTCTTGGTCTGGGCAGGATAAAGATTTTCTGTCAGCTTGTAAAAACAGTGTCTTTTCGAGGGAAGCTGGCTTATTTTTGAATGAGGCCCATTCCACCCATGAAGTGTTATTCGCCAACCTCATGTATTAGATCATAAGCTAGCTGAGGGTAAGGGCTGAGACTTTCCTCTTTGCATCCTTACCCTCAAGTTGGTCCAACCATTACTGAATTTAAAGAGTGGATAAGTCCATGAAAGTTCTAAATTGTGTTCTATCTTCTCTAAACCTTTTCTCAAATTAAGTATTCCCTCATAGCATCTTTATGTGCCCCTTTTTTACCGACGCATCACATCCTATTTTATCTAGTTTTGATGTAGGTCTTTGTTATACTCTTTTGTATCCCTTGAGCCCTGTCTTGTGCTGGATTCATAGGAGCTACTCAGTAAAATGAGCAGTGGTAGAAGAAATTAATTAAAAATTCTTTTAGGTTTTGAACATGAGAGAATAATTGTCTTGGGCCAAGGGGCTCCTTCTCTCTGCTACTCTTATTTACTCTGTCGTTGTGTTGCAAAAACTAGAAAACCAAACCCACTGCCACCAAGTTAATTCCAACTCATAGTGACCCCCATTGGTTTCTGAGGCGGTTAATCTTACGGAAGTAGATTGCTCCATCTTCCTTCTGTGGAGTGGCTGGTGGGTTTGAACTGCTAACCTTCCGGTTAGCAGTCAAATGTCTTAGGAACTGCGCCACCAGTGCTGCAACTCTACATAAATAGTACATGAACATATTGAGCATCACAGATCAGGCCATGGGGAGGCAGGAGGAATAAATGGAATTCCTAAGGTGTCCTAGGCATCTGTGTTCACTATCTGCTACAGTCCTGGAAATCACAGAGGGAACTAGTAGGTGACTTTCATCTGAGTCTGAATAACTAAAATGATGTTTAGTTTTCATAATTTTTCTTTGTATGTATGTATGTGAGATTCTGGTGAGGTGGAGCAAAGGAGAGTACACAAAAGGGTAATATCAGCTTATGTTACTGAGTGGCTGTGTAACTGCACATAAACTGGTAAGACCAAGAACTCTTTCCTAATGATTCTTCTTATATTGCATCTTGCCCAATGCTCTACTGGTCCTTTACCAATATATTCTAAAAACACAACTAAGGAAGTTAACATATTGACCTATGAAAAATTTCATATCCCCACAAAAAGGAAAACTAAGAGCTACACATCTTATTAGCTAGTAATATATGTTTTCCAGCCACTGTATAAAGACTTTGCAACCTTCATTATCTATTCATGAACATTTTAAAAGAACGTAGTCTAGTCTTTATTTTAAGAGATAATATTTGGACTACATACCTATTTGGAAGATGGTGACTGCCAAAGGTTGTACTTCCCCCAGGACCCACAAATAACCTCAGTCCTTCTTCTGTAATACACAATTAAATTGTCTGTTATTTGCATAAGGTATTTGTATAAAAATATTCATATTATAATTCACATTTGACATTTCAGTTTTGTTTACTAAGAAAGTTAAACACTTCAAAAAAATCAAATTATACACATTTTAAAACAGGAGGTTTAACAATAACTGAATAGTTGTTTCTCATCAACTTTCCTAAAGCTCTTTTTCTTCTGAGTAATGAAGGCAGCTCTTCGTACAAATCTCCACAAGTTTTAATTCTCTCTCTCTACGAACAGTTACAAAATGAAACTAAGCCCATTGTTAAGTGCTTGCTAGTCACACCAGCATGAATAATTACACCTTTCAAATTAGTGGCATGTAAATTTTCAGTTTCAGTGCAAATGTTAAGGGGGGAACCAAGGATTCTGTTATTCACTATCATTTCAAGGGCACCACCCAATATTCCAAATTACTTTAGTGACTTGAAGCATTATGTCCACTTATGAGAGAAGCAGACAGAGCAGTCAGAGATACCTATCATTAGGTGTATAAACATGGTAATGCTGGCAAATAATTGAAACACAAAATAATGCTTTCTTTAAAACTGATCTCTTTTAGCTTACAAATTCAATATTCATTCTTAGAAAGAAATGAGCTGCAAAGTTATCTTGAGACTGTCAGGGTATAGAATTTATTTTATAAATGTGCCAAGAGTCAGCATTATGATGCACTGCTTCTTAACTGCCACATGGACTACACAGGCCTGGATGGCATACATTTGTCTACATACCTTCTGCACTGGAGTCTAGGCTGAAGTCTTGACTCTGTAATATGGTCTCCACAATATCATCTGCATCCACTCTGGTGGCATCGACTCGCTTCAGTTGAGATTCCACAGAATCTTGTTTCACTGGGTACCTTTCAAAATGAAGAATTTAAAAAATTTCCCTTCTTTTTATTACATTACGGAAACAAAGTTTTTACTTTGTTAAACCCAAAAGGATACCTGCTGAGTTTTTCTGATGCTGTATCTTCTTTTTCGATTGCATCAAGATTTGGGTCAGCTATTTTTTGCTCAATTTCATCACACGGCTCTAGAATGCTTTCAATTCCTGTTGATGTACTTCCCACTGAGGTATTTCTCCTGTGGCAGAGCTCGGAGAAACTGGATGACCGGGAGTGACATGAGCTATACCCTGCCAGAGAAAATCACTTTGGTTTTAGTATCAAACACTAACTGCAATCTAACATTCTTCTCCCACACCACAGCAGCTTTAGGTGACTTTATAACAATTGTTGTCTAAGGAAGTCAACTTCACTGTTACTGTCTACCTGATACTTTTGACTGCTGGCTTGCATAGCTCGATGTTCTGGAATGTCCACAGGCACCAAGTTCATCTGGAACAGAGGCGCTCTTTGCTGAAAGATCTGCAATATGTCATAACATGATGTTACTATTATTGCCAATAAGTCAATGGTCATTTATCCTCTAATTTACACATTGTCTTAGTTCTCCACTGCTGCTATAACAGAAATACCACAAGTGGATGGCCTTAACAAACAGAAATTTATTCTCTCATAGTTTAGGTGGCCAGAAGTCTGAATTCAGAGTGCTGGCTCTAGGGGAATACACTAAGCTAGAAGTCTGAGTTCAGAGTGTCAGATCTAGTGGCTGAGTGGAGACCCCTTGCCTTTGGGCTTTAGTTCTGCCTTCCAGGCCCAGTGGAGCAAGTTGGAGGCATCTCCTGACTCACGCAGCTGCTGGCTGCTGAGGCAACAATCCCATGATCAGCAGGTAACACAGAAGGGCACTAGTGTAAGTCCAGGAACTAGAGATGAAGACTGAACCAAATGCAGGATCCTTTCTATACATATTGGAAGCAGGCCACACCCTAAAGACCACTCTCCTTCAAGTGATTAACTGTAGTTAAGAGCAGTTTCCACCATGGAGGTGACTACACAATGTCCATTCTCATCATGGGGAATAACTACATCCAGCTGCCAAGCCACTCAGAATCATGGCCCAACCAAGTTGACACACAACCTTAACTACCACAGTTCATGTTCATTATTAAGAAAGAATAAGTTATTCCGTGAGAACCTCATCCTATATGACCCTGAGACCAGAAGAACTAGACTTCTACCTAGCTACCAATGCCAACCACTCACAAAAGGTTCAAAATTGGAGATCCTAGATAGAGTGGGAGAAAAAATGTGGAACGAAATTACAAAACATAAAAAGGACCAGGATTACTGGTCAGATAGAGATTGGGGAAATCCCTGAAACTAAGGCCCTGATTCACTCTTCAGGCCTGGAATTGAACTGGACAAGTACACCAGGGAGATGTACTCCTTAGAACAATCAACCATGGGAGATCACAAGACAAGCATTTGCACAGGGAGAAAAGTAGGGAGGCTGGAATGCATAGGCATAAAGGACACAGGAAAAGGGTGACCACAGGGAGGAAGTGGGAGGAGAGCGGATACACTGCTGGGATTGTGATCAGTGTCATGAAACTAAATGTGTATGAACTGCTGAATGTAAAATGAATCTGCTTTATAAAATTTCACCCAAATCACCATAAAAAGTTATTAAAGAAAAAAAGAAACAGTAAGTTGTGAAATGTCACAGATCCTTTGAATCAGTACAATGGAAATAATTACGTTGCAAGAAATATAAAGTACTTTATTAAATACCTTAGTTTACTGAAGAACCATAGTATTTTTTATAAGATTTAACAGTACTTTATCTCAAATAATATAAAACTATTTCACTTTTTATTTTCAGTATTTTTCTAATAAAAATTGGTCAGATGTATTCTTACAGATTCTTACAAAATTGCCAGCTTTAGTGTGGTTTCTAAGGAAATCTTGTTTCCTCAAAAATCCATCACAACCTAACTAAAGAGTACTTTAGTACTTTAATGTTAGGGTTGCTAGTGCTAGGCTGTAATTTGGGCAGTGTCTGTGGCTTAAAGCAACACAGCATGGAATACAGCACTGAGAGTAAAAATTCTCAAGAAACTGATTATAGTACTCAGTTTCAAAGTAACTGTATCAAAAAGTGATGTCAAAGCCATACACTATTTCTACTGGTTTCCTGATAATACACATATAAAACCAAAAATCCAACCCTCTGCCATCAAGCCCATTTTAAGTCATATACATACAAAATTTTAATTCGGAAGGGATCTTAGGAATCTCAAAATACCAAGTAGTATGGTTCCTCACAAACGGAAAAAAACAGTAAACTTACACATCCATACCTGCTATTCCAAGATGGACTTTCAGGGTTTCCCCACCTTTTCTATCTTCTTCTAGACATTCAGATTCACCAGCAATTGGTATTGACATTGATGTAGAAGGTGGCCTGTAAATAATCATTTCTAAGGATCAGAACGTGATTCATGAGTGAGCCTGGAAGTTTGAAATATTGTTAGAGACTGGTTGTGTAGTCAGTACACAGCCTTGATAAAGTATGTGGTAAAATTACCCTTTGTCTTAGTTCTCTAGTGCTGCTATAACAGAAATACCACAAGTGGATGGCTTTTAACAAATAAGTTTATTCTCTCACAGTTTAGGAGGCCAGAAGTTCAAATTCTAGGTACCAGCTATAGGGGAACACTTTTTCTCTCTGTTGGCTCTGGGGGAAGGTACTTGTCTCCTTTCAATATCTGTGTGCATGGCATTCCTTGGAGATCTCCATGTGTCTTAGTATCAATCTTCCCCTGGGTCTAGGAGCTTTTCAGCTCAGTAATCCCAGGTCCAAAGGGCACACTACATTCCTGGCTCTTCCTTCTTGATGATAATGAGGTCCTTTTGATCTCTGCTTGCTTATTTAGTCTCTTTTACATCTCAAAAGAGATTGACTCAAGATACAAACTAATTCTGTAGATTGTATCCTGCATCATTAACATGAGTGTCACTAATCCTTCCTTGTAAATATCATAGAGGTTAAGATTTACAAGACACAGCATGATTATATCACATCACAAAATGGAAAATGATTACATAATACTGAGAATCATAGCCTAGCCAAATCGACATATTTTTGGGGGCACAGTTCAATCCGTAATACCCTTTGGGTGTGAAAGCAATAAAAATCAACAGATTATACATGAATACCCTCAAAACCTGCATCAGATTCATGAAAAAAAAAGTCTTTCTGTACAACAACAAAGGTAAGATCAGAAAGGACACTGTCTCCATGGAAATGGGAAAGAAGAGAAGGAATCTGTCACTGTTCCCAGCACTCAACTCCCCAGATGAGGCAGGGAGGTATTTCTATGGTGGAGATGGAGGTACCAAGCCCATTTTTATCTAGGGGTTGGCTGAAAATACCTCAAGACTCTTATTTTAGTGCCTAAGATCTCTTGCTGGCTCTACTTCTTAAGAAGTACCCTTCTTCAAAAAAAAAAAAAAAAAAAAAAAGACTACAGCCTTGGAATCCTATATGTGCAGTTCTACTCTGTCCTATAGGGTTGCTATAATTCAGATTTGGCAAAAAAAAAAAAGAAAAAGAAAAAGAAAAAAATATCCTTCTTCTACTTCTCTGTAAAGCATTCAACATGCTCCAGGGATAGTGTAAAGAGAACTCCAGTTGTTTAGATTTGCTGCCTGGACTGCATTCTCTGGGAATAGGTGATGGATATATTTCTATTGCCTAATTCAAGGCTCCTATGTCCATGTGGAGCTCTGGTAGCACAGTGCCTAAGGCACCTGACTACTAACCAGAAGGCTGGCGGTTCAAACCCACCAGCCACTCCTCGGAAGGAAGGTTGGGCAATCTTACTTCTGTAGTGATACTGCCTCAGAAACCCAAGGAGGGGTCGCTATGAGTCAGGGCCGAATCAATAGCACATAACAACAACAACATGTCCATGTGGGAGCTGTGAAGTACGGAGGGGTGAGTTTGAGTTCTAACCAGTTTGCTTTACTTAACATAGGACTTTTATTATAAAACACCCTTAAACGTTAAGGTTGATGTTCCAGAGGAAAACCACATCTTAGAAATCATCCCTTGTGATCTGAGATAAAATATCAAGAAAGCCGAAAGAATCAAGAAGCTGAATCACTATGTATAGTTCTTAAATTCTTTCTTGACTATCTCAATGGTATCCTCTGTCTACTCAGGTTCTGGGGGTACAGACAGATAAGACTGCCATTAAACCTATTTAATTTAGATTACTTCCAGCCCAGGATCTCCTAAATTCCAGACTTGTAAGTTCTACTGTGACATTCTAAAGTATTTGTCCTACAAGTATATCAAACTCAATAGATCCTAAACTAAACCTATATTCTCTTCCAAACCTGCTTTCTTCTTGTGGCCCCTATCTCTGTGAATTCCATCATAATCTTTAAAGACACCAAAACTAGATTCCTGGATATTATCTGTGCTTCCTTCTTATTCATGTTTCCCAATATTTAGTCAATTTCCAAATCCCACAGATTCTCTCTGTTAATGTCTTTCCTATCTCTTCTCCTCTCCCATCAATTACTTTAGTTCTGGCCTTTATACCTTTCTCCTGGATGATTGCAACAGTCTTCTATTGGGTCTCTCTACTTCTGTTTCATGCTACAGTCACTGAAGTGTTTTACATCCCCCCATATCCAATCAATTACGAAGTCCTACAATTTTTTTCTCTTAACATCTTTTCTATCTCTTTTCCATCTCCACTCACTACTTTACCAAAACCGAAAAACCAAACTCACTGCCGTTGAGTCGGATCTGACTCATAGCGACCCCTCCTTGGGTTTCTGAGGTGGTATTACTATGGAAGTAGGCTTCCCAACCTTCCTTCCGAGGAGTGGCTGGTGGATTTGAACCACCAGCCTTCTGGTTAGCAGTCAAATGCCTTAGGCACTACGCTCCCAGAACTCCTTCACTCACTACTTTAGTTCTGGCATTTTTTTTAACCTTTCTTCTGGATGATTCCAAGAGTCTTCTAGAATGTCTCTCTACTTCTGTTCCATTCTAGCTATGGTATTCTGGAAATGTGCATCTGAACACGTGACCCTCTGACTTGAAATCCTTCAGTAGCTTATCTGGGACAAAGTTCAAGCTCCTTACAACGGCATAAAAGGTCCTCCACCGTCTGGCTTAGACCTATCTCTTCAACTACTAACAGGTGTATTTTTAAAGAATGTAGAACAGCTTGGTAAAAACACAAAACAAAAAAATTGG